ACTTTGCTCCACGTGTCCCTGGTCTGCTGGAGACGGTCCCCAGCAGACCAGAGGCACCCGGAGCAGCTTTTCTTGCCCCGGAGGTCGAGGTGGCGGGACTACTGCGCTCTGGGCGGTCCCGCTGCCTGTGAGCTCCGGGGCGAGAAAGCCCCGTTCGTAAGTGCAGATCCGACGTAAGTCGGAGCCGCGTAACTCGGGGACTGCCTGTAGTCCATTATTTTTTGAATAGTAGAAAAGTTGCATTGAGTGCTATAGGGATTAAAATATACTTAAAAAAAGTATAGAACAACCAATTTTACGTGTTATCAAAAACTTTATTGTAAACTATAATTTTTGTTTCATTATTCTTAACAAATATGTACCAATTTTTTCCACTTCCAACTCCTGAACACGCCACAGAGTTGTCCATGTGAAAAGCAGATGTTTCCAAATCAATTCCAGCTACTTTAAGTGACTGTCCTTGTGCTTTGTCAGTATACATTGTTGAAATATAAATTGACAGTTGATATAACTGAGGTGAGGAGCCTGAAGGGAGGGAGGGGTAAGGGAGCCACGTGCCTGCTGCCGGCGCCTGAGACCGCCCTCCACTTCCTTGTCCCTCCACTGGCCTTAGTGAGTGACTGGCCCCACTGCTTCCCCGGGGAAGCCACTTCTCCCCAAATTGCCAAACTCAGTGCAGCCCCGGGGAGTGGTGTCGGTCTCTCATCTCTTCCCTCCCACAGTCCCTTAAAACCTTCTCCTGGATGACAAGTTATCCCTCCACCGGCCTTAGTGGGCGACTGTCCCTGCCGCTTCCCCCGGAAAGCCACTTCTCCCTGCACTGCCAAGCTCTGTACAGCCCCGGGGAGAGGTGTCCATCTCTCATGTCTTCCCTCCCATAGTAACTTAAAACCTTCTCCTGGTTAAAAGGTTATCCCATGCAAAGTTTGGTTGCAGTAGCTGTTGTAGTGTCCAAGTTATTAGCGCACAAACATACAAACATTCTCCTTTATATATTAGATTCTTTGACTTCAACAAAACACTAAATTGAATCACAGATTAATGAAAAAAGATTGAAAACCTTACATTTGATTTTGCATTCTAGATTTTCAAATACTCAACTATGAAATCAATATTTTTCATAAAACGGGCGCTCTAGTTCAGTGGTTTTCAAACTAGGGGCAGCAACTCATTACTGCCTCGGAGTCTCATTGCTGCAAGAGGTTCAGGTGACCAGGGGGAGTGCTCAGGTAGACTACCTACTTATCCTGGCATAGCAGACTGTGCAGGAGGCCTAGTTCCTAGGTGGGGGGGGAAGAGAGCACATAGCACTCCACACACTGCTCCTGTCCCAAGCAGTTGCTCCATACTCTCATGGGCTGGGAACCTGCTGCTGGCTGTTTCTAGGATACAGCATGGTCTGTGGTGCAAGGTAGGGATGTTAATTTAGATTAATCAACTAAACCAATAGTCCAGGGCAAACCATGGACTATTGGCCATGGGTAGTCTAGGCCAACCCATTCTGGGCAAAGAGCCAAGATATCAATGGATGCAGCGCGAAGAGCTGGGGCAAAGCTGTGGAGGGGGAAAGGACTCCCCTTTAAAAGGAGTCCCCGGTTGCGTTTGGTGGAAAGGGGGCAGGAACCACTTCTGCCCCTTTAAGAAAACATGTTTAGAGGCTTTTTGGCCACATCAGGATCCCGCTGGCCGACGCCATCTTTAATTCTCCATCCCTGCCCAGGTCAGCACAGGGAGCTGGGAGGAGAGGGCGGTTTTTGGAGGCAGCTTTACGAGCCATGGGAGGGAGGAGCTTTGTGAGCTGCACCCTAATGGGGGGGAAAGAGCTGCATGCAGCTGGTGAGCCGTGGGCTGGCCATGGCTGGAAGTTGATGGAATTTCCATCGACTATTTGGTTAGTCGATAAGGACACTTCTGCCTTTGAAATGTAGCAAGAGCCCCACCAACTCTAGCTATATTTCAAAGGCAGAAACGCCGCCAGTTCCCCACTGTGCCCCCACAGAAGCAGTGCTGGTAGGAGCTGTCTTTTAAGCCGGCTTGCCCCTCTTCAATAGAGGCAGTAAAGGGTGGGGGGAAGCGACTAGTTGAATCACTAGTCAACATTCCAATAAGCATATGCTTGTTGGATAGTCAATTCGTCACTTACATCCCTAGTGCAAGGAGAGGCAGGAAGCCTGCCTTCACACACACCGCAATATTGCTGACCGGGAGCTAGTCCAGGTAAGCCCCTCATATCCCAGCCTTGACTGTCACTCAAGCCAAAGCCCCCTCGCATACTCCAAACCTCTCATCCTCAGCCCCATCCCAGAGCCCACACTCTAGACAAATTGTGTTGGGACACAGAATCAAACATTTTCTTCAACTGGGTCATGAGAAAAAAAAAAGTTTGAAAACAACTGCACTAGTTTGTTAAAAGCTAAATTCTGGAGTCTATTATTCAGTTTACATTACTGGTGATTTTGCTCAGCTAATTATTAAAGAAACTAGAATAAGAACAATTTTACTTCAGACAGACTTGAACTAATTTGCTTAGTTCCCTTCTCTGCCCTCCCCTCAAAAAAACAAAAACAAAAAACCACCATCAGAACACTGATAAAGCAGTAGGGTATATTTATCTTAAGTACCTAACATACAAGCTTTTGATTATTGGCTTAAACATCTTAATAGAGCCTGTACCTCTGACAACCAGTCTTTCATTATATGACCATAAGACACACACCTAACACAACACAGTATTAAATACAAAGCTAAATAACGTTTTCAATACAACTCTTCCATAGATAGCTTAAAATAAGACCAAACATGAAATAAACTCACATCACAAATTCATAGGTTCCAAGACCAGAAGGGATGTTGTGATTATCTAGTCTAACCTGCAGAACACAGGTGACAATGTCACAAATTCCTAGAGTATCTTTTAGAAAAAAATCCAATCTTGACTTAAAAGTTGCCATTGAAGGAGAATAGTCGTGACAATGGTTAGTTACAGTTTATGTTTTTATATATATATATATATATATATATAAAAACATAAACTGTAACTAACCATTGTCACGACTATTCTCCTTCAATGGCAACTTTTAAGTCAAGATTGGATTTTTTTCTAAAAGATACTCTAGGAATTTGTGACATTGTCACCTGTGTTCTGCAGGTTAGACTAGATAATCACAACATCCCTTCTGGTCTTGGAACCTATGAATATATATATATATATACATATATATATGCATGCATATGCCTTATTTCCACTCTGAAATTATCCTACTTCAACCTTTGGATTGTATTATGCTCATCTCTACTAGATTGAAGAACCCAAGTTTCAGAGTGGTGACCTGAGCCAAGCTCAGTCCCATGGATCAGGATCTCTTGCTGTGTGGTGAGAATGAGCCACTCTCACTGCTATTTGCAATATGCCTCCCACCCCTGTGGGCCAGAGCCCAGGGCCTGCTCCTCCCACCCATCACACACTATCCACTCCCTCATATGGATACAACTGTAGAATGAAGTAATACAAAATTCCCAGAAAATATTACAACTGTTAAAAATGAATTTCAGTAGCCTCCACTAACGCCTCACTAGTTAGGAGGTCTTAGAAACAAGTGTTTACCCCGTCAGGAAGAGGGGCTGCCTTATGTACTCAGGTTGCTGTAAGAAGAGGATTCTAAGCTCCTTTGAGATACTCAGTGTTATAATTGTGTTGCTGGACTTCTTGCATGGGAGTGCCTTTGCTTACAATGCGTGGCGAATCATATTCTGGCCCCGCACATGACATTCTGGAGCAAGGCAAAGTTACAGTTAATTAATATTAGAAAAAAATCCCTCACCCCCCCTCTCCCCCAAGGGAAGCAGAGGGTTTATTAGCAGAAGGGAAGAACACCGGCTGGCAGGCGCCGCGATGGGCGCTCAGGGGCGCAGCAAGTGCTCTGGGAGGCAAATCGCGG